CTTCTTCCACTTCCTCAGAGAAGGTAGGAGATTCACTGAGGCCCTGACACAGCACCCTGAGACCTGGTCCAGGCAATGGGGGTGGGTCTGCTGCCGGCAGGGTGGTGCCAAGATGCAAGCTCCCAGATTTGCCATTCTCTCAAGGGTGTGCTGATCAGAGTCAGGAAAACCGTCTGCATTCCAGGGAAGGGCGGGTGGTGGTAGTGGTTGGGGGCCGTGGGGATAACACGACAACAAAACAGAAAACCAGGACAGCTAACAGGGATGAGGGTTTGAAGCAGACAGTGGTGAACAGGAACTGGAGACAGTTCTGAGATGAAGAACAAACAGCTGATTGTATGTGGTTTTTCACAGTTATGGCCCTGGATACACTGAGATCCCTACAAATAGGGGGAAAAAAAATCAACTAACCATGATTTAAACTAACATTCTTATATGACAAAAATTCTGGAAGTAGACAGAATTCTGGCTTTGGTTTAGCCACTCAGCCATGGCAGGGCTCCAAGTCTATGCCTCTTACGGTCCTCTGGACATTCTTCTCAGGATTGCACATTACTGCAGCAGCAACAGTCACACCATCATATGACCATGCTTAAAGCCAGTCAATGGGATGGTCCATGGCAAAGCATTTACCCTCAAACCAGTTGCTCAAAAGCTAGGAAGGAATAAAACCTGCCTCAGAGATGTAGAACTCATCTATAAGATCATGGTCAGGGTAAACCAATTAGATCTTGTTTGTCTAGGACTTTCTCATTTTTAGTATTGAAAGTTCCTTGTCTGTAGAACTGGCTCAGTCTTGGGCATCCGAGGATGGTTGGTCTCTGTGTTAGTGTCACATGGCCATCTTTGGTCAATTTTCCTGAGGGCTTTTCACCTAATACTTGAATTGGAGTTTCTTAACTCCAAAGAGGGAAGGGTGGGTTTTTTTGTTATGACAGATTCCCTCAACCTTGGCTGCACTTCAGAATAATTAAGAACTTTTATAAAAAATGCCAATGCTTGGGCTCTACCCAGTGATTCTAAATTAATCTGGGGTATTTCTTATATTTAAATCTTTAATATTTTTAAGCATTCATATCTTTAAAAAGCTAGCCAGGTGATTCTAATGTATAGCCATAGTTGAGAAGTAAAGTATGTACAAGTCAATACTGAACACTTAATAAAACAGCCCCAGAACAAAGACTATAATTTAATACAATTGGCAGTAAAATAAACTTTTAAATCAATGTGTTCAGTTTTCTAAAAATTTTTATATATTTTTTTAACTGACACTGAAAGGTAAACAAGGTGGATATTATTTCCATTTATAGATTAGAAAGTTAGAGCTCAAAAATTTTGTTACCCTTGAGAGCCCCTTTCCATCTACATTACATTTAATTGTCAAATTTCCATTTTTCAGGGCAAGTTCATTAAATACTAAAGTGATACATTCTCAAAAACACTGTAATGTATACAGTAGTCGTACAACTGTATGACTACCTCTTATTTAACTATCATGCCTTTAACAATGGTAGAATGGATTCAACTTAATCCAAAATCAATCTTTGCATAGGCAAATCCTATAAATCATGTACCATGAGTTCCAGCAATGTGATAAAAGTGAAAGGGGTAGAAAAATATGAAAATCACACTAAAATGATAGTGGTCTACGTTGGTGAGGGAGTAGATGAGTAGGGAGGACATTGTTATATGCATTAAAAGTTGTTAATTCAATCTCTGAGTTTCTCAGTTGAATTGGTCAATCAACTGCAGTGTCCTTTCCATTTATAACAATTAGGTAACAGTTAAATAGTCTATTTGTTTATTTTGCTTTTTCCTCCTAACCTACCCCTCTCCCCACTTGCTCCTTGGATTCCTCTGTTAGCATTACTATTGCTCTTAGATGCAAATGAGTGAAGGTTGCCCCCGCCCATGAGAGTTAGGGGTATTGATGCAAATTACAAACCATAATGCTAAGGACAAGCCTATATACTCTAGGGCAGGATCGTGGTCTCTAGCCTCTCTCCTTCCTTTAATCTCTGAGCAGTAGGAATATGTTAATCCTTGCCGACTGAGTCAAAGGGGATTATATGAGTTTCCGTTTCACATGTGGACTTGGGCTACATGTGGTTAAAGTGTGTCCACTACAGTCTGTGAAGTTAGAGTAACTTATATAGATTTATCCAGACCTCTACAGAGCCAGAGAGAGAATCCATATAGTGGTTTGGCAAAAGGCTGGAAAAGTGTTCCAAGCATCAGATCTGGGAAGTGAAACTAGACCACAAACAGAAATATTAGCTACAATTTGGGATATAAAGTGCATGATGGGTCAGAGCAGGTGGTTAAAAATAATGATACAATGAACTTTTGCCAATGACTATGTACCAGGCACTATATTAAACACGTTGTTATTTAATTCTCACAGTAGCCTCATGAAATTGGTAACATAAATGTCTCATATAATAGAAAAACTGAGACTCAGAGAATAGAATTGTCCAGTATCGCACGACCAGTAAATGGTAGCGCTAGGATATATACCCCAGCCGTTAATTCTGTAACATTAAAGAAGCCAATGGGGCATTTCAAGATCTTGTGGCAGTGTCCTCATCACCAGACCTTCTCTCAAAATTCAGGTCTGTTCCTTCATTTCCTCAGGAAAGGATTAACAATCAAGCATGGTGGCTGGCCATGCGTTAGTGTGACAGTGTGCAATGATAAGACAGAAGAGGAAATTTCTGAAGATATTCCTGCTCTAACTATTCCCTCTGCTCTTGGCTGGATAATAGACGTTTGTGGCAGGATAATTTAGCAAGCAATTAATTGCTCTGCCTACCTCCTGTTAGAAGAGACTAGCAGAAAGGTGAAAAGTAGCTCAGCCCTCCATGCTTTCAAGAATTTCTGATTTCGGGGATCTCTGGGTGGCGCAGCAGTTTGGCGCCTGCCTTTGGTCCAGGGCGCGATCCTAGAGACCTGGGATCGAGTCCCACGTTGGGCTCCTGGTGCATGGAGCCTGCTTCTCTCTCTGCCTGTGTCTCTGCCTCTCTCTTTCTCTTTCTGTGTGACTATCATAAATAAATTTTTTTAAAAAAGGAAATGCATCTTTAAAAAAAAAAAGAATTTCTGATTTCTCTCAAGGGTTGGTAACAGCTTTTGTGTTGCCTGGCCTAGCACAAGAGCTGCAAGGTTCAAACTGTCCAATCTTATCAAGGCTCCTTTGTGGGAGGGGAATGTAGTTATGTGTTTCTCAGAGGAAGGAGAAAGGGCCGGGTTGAAAGAGGGGTGTTGGGAATCCCTGGGTGGCTCAGCAGTTTAGTGCCTGCCTTTGGCCCAGGGCGTGATCCTGGAGTCTGGATGGAGTCCCACGTCGGGCTCCCTGCATGGAGCCTGCTTCTCCCTCTGCCTGTGTCTCTGCCTTTCTCTCTCTCTCTGTGCCTCTCATGAATAAATAAATAAAATCTTAAAGGGGGGGGGGTGTTCTGGCACCTGTGGCTCAGTGGTTGAGCATCTGTCTTTGGCTCAGGTCCTGATCCCCAGATCCTGGGATCAACTCCTGCATCTGGCTCCCTGCAGGGAGCCTGCTTCTCCCTCTGCCTACATCTTTGCCTTTCTCTGTTTCCCATGAACAAATAAGTAAAACCTTTAAAAAAAAAAGAGAGAGGGAGAGAGAGAGGTGTTGTTCAAATACAGCAGTGGCTCCTGAGACTAGAGGAGCTGGCTAGGTCCTAAAGGTGGAAGTTCCCAAGGAGGCTGCAGACCTTGTGATGGGGGCAGCTGGTGTGTTAGAGGCAGGAGGGACTGCTAACCATCCAACACCATAGTCTGGGGAGTTGCAGCAAAAGATGTTGTGGCCTCACTGTCAGAGTGGCTGGACCTTTCAATGGACCAAACTGTCTTCTACAGTGAGCATCTTGGTGGCAACCATGAAGGACCAAAAACCAGAAGCTATTTTCTTTTTTTTTTTTTTTCCTCTTAGAGTGGTATCATACTAAAGAGGGAACAAAACCTCCGGCAATAAATTGTATTAAATGTCTTCCCATCTTTGTAAATGGGGCTTAGAGCCAGAAATAATTTAATTTATAAAACACTGAGCATCATCTTACTTGCATCTGGCAGATGTCTGGGACACGGCCCGGGTTCGGACTCCGGGCAGCCAGCGCACGCACGGCTCACAGCTCAGGCCCCCGCATCTCGCCTGGCGCAGTGCACAACTGCAGACTCGTGATGGGGCTGCCAAGGGCACGGGGTCCGCGGGTGGCGGGAACGACTCTTCACCCCCGGGTCTGGGTGAGAGACCCTTGGCACGGAACACCCCGGCCGTGTCCCTGGACCTCCATGGATCCTGGTAGATCGCGCTTCCGCCTGGCAGAGGAGCCCAGGAACCCTGCAGCTCAGGCCAGCCTCGGGGCAGGGGGGGGGTCTCTCCCTGCCCCGCACCTGGAGCCCGGCTGACTCCCTGCACCCCGCGCACAGCTCCGGCCACACGGCACCCCCCACCCCCTCGGGCACCACAGCACAGTTTCCCTTTCTGGGGCTAAAATTAAATACGAAATGGAGCGAAATTCCCAGAGTAGTCCGAACCCTTTAAGCGCCATCCCTGAAACGTCATGTAGCTTATTCTGCAGAATGAATGGGACTTAACTTGTGCCGCTTCTCATAAATGGCTCTGGCTAAGTATAAAAGAAACTTAAGTCATCCTCTTAAAAACCTTGTAAGATGATCACTTTTAGCCAGTGGCCCGCCATCTGGAGACCCCTGCTGGAGTAACCAGTCATTATAAACAATATCTGCATTTTTACTTTGGAAGGCATCCTGGAAAGTTCATACTCTTGAGTTTCCAATCAGTCTTTCCATTTAAAAGTTCTTGGTTCTATCAGTATTCCTACATGCGCAAGAAACTTACTAAATACTAAAAACAAAGCTCAAACCAAAAAAAAAAAAAAAAAGGATTTTTATTTTATTTATTTATTTATTTATTTATTTATTTATTTTGCAGTTTTATGCCTTTATTTGACAATCAGCAATTAGTTCTCATCCACATTAACAGTCTGTAGAGTTTTCAAAGTGGTGACAGGTACGTAGGCAACCAGCGCGTAGAGCTTGTTGGGTGAATCTTCATCCTCGTTCTGGTTTCTGGACAACCGCACGCGGATACGGATACGGTATGGAGCATTCCTTATGCCTTTGGCCCCGACGGCTTTGTGGAGCCCGGGGTCAATGCGCACATCTGGAGTTCCCATCTCCTTCGTGCCAAATTTCCAGATCTCTTTGAGTGCCCGAGGGGCACGCTTCTTGAAACCCACTCCATGGATACGTTTGTGAACGTTGATGGGGTATTCTCTGGTCACTACCTCGTTGATGGCAGGACGGCCCTTCTCGCCACCCTTCTTTGCGGGAACCATTCCTCCGAGCCCTAGTTGGAAAGGACCAAAAAAGGAATTGATGATGTAGCTGTAAAGTCTGGGAGTAGTAAGGTGGCCTCTGGCGATGATACTGAAATGTCAGAAGAATTGAGATCTCTTCTATTTCCTGGCTGTCTGTTATGCTGTTCTTTGTTCTTGCTTTTTTTTTTTTTTTAGATTTTATTTATTTATTCATGACACACACACACGCAACACACAGAGAGAGAAAGAAAGAAAGAAAGAAAGAGAGAGGGGCAGAGACACAGGCAGAGGGAGAAGCAGGCTCCATGCAGGGAGCCTGATGTGGGACTCGATCCTGGGTCTCCAGGTTCATGCCCTGGGCTCAAGGTGGCACTAAACCGCTGAGCCACCCAAGGATTCCCCTGTTCTCGGGTTTTATGTAGTGGCAGGATGGCTATCAACAAGGTCAGGGCTGTATTCTTCCAGGTTCAAGTCCAGTGGAAAATGTGGTGCCTCTCTCAAAACACTTGCAAAAGCCTCATTAGCTCCCGGAGGGTTACTGAACCAGTCGCTTGGGCTGGGGCAGTGGAGTGCTCCTTTCATGTAGACCTGAGTTACAGAGATACGCTCAGCTAGGGATCATTTGGGGACCAAGACTGTCCCTGTATGTGGGCTGAGGCTGAAGAGGTAAATAGAAGTACTATTCCAGAAGGGTGAATAAATGCCGACTGTCCAAATAAAAACTAAGATGACCACATCTTACCTTCTGGCCCAAGGGCATGACTGGTCCTTGAGGGTCTAGAATTTATTTATTTTTTTTAAGATTTTATTTATGTATTCATGAGAAACATGGAGAGGAGAGAGAGGCAGAGACACAGGCTGAGGGAGAAGCAGGCTCCATGCAGGGAGCCTGTCGTGGGACTCAATCCCGAGGTCTCCAGGATCACACCCTGGGCTGAAGGCCGCACTAAACTGCTGAGCCACCCGGGCTGCCCGGGTCTAGAATTTAAATTGAAAAATGAATGTGGTTATGTGCAGAGTAGGCTACATAATGGTCCCCCCAAAATATATCCAGATCGCTAGAACTTGTGAATGTTTCCTTAAACGGCAAAAAAAGCTCTTTGCTGGTGTGCTTAAGGATATTGAGATATTGAGTTTGAGATGGGTGGACCATGAATTCAACTACAAGGGTCCTTATAAAAGAGACTTGAGTCCATAAATTGTTTGGGTGAAGGAGGCCCAATCCTAGCTCCTTCTGTAGTCTGCCATTCTCTCCTCAGGTACTATCTGTCAAGAGTTGCATTCACAGCTGAGTCTCCAAGCTCCTTGGAAAAAACCCTCAAAACAGATCAGGGACACATGACCATAAAAAATTTCATCCTGGATAGTTTTTCATCTGCCCCCTCACATGTGGGAGAGGAAAGGTAGAGAGCCTTGATGTGGCTATTCTTTGATACTGGCTATTGATTCATGGACCTTTCTTAGGGGCGAAGAACAGACTTTTCATGCCCTCATACCCACCATTGCTGCCAAAACACAACAGTGGGAAGGGGGTCAACAGAGGCAGTTCAGAGCTGCTTACAAGTCAAGCAGTAGCAGGAAACGAAGCAGGGAATGAGAATGAGTGATATCCCAGGGGACTCTGGTGATAGACTAGCAAGGTTCCCAGAGGATGAGGATATGAGAGATGAAACTAAGAATGCCTTCAGGGGTCAAAGGGTCAAGGGAGATAGTCAAGGCTGAGGAGTTCTCAGGTCCTTAATGCAATCAAGAGACATCCTGAGAGCTAGTCAACCAGGAAACTCCCAAAATCTAAATGGAAATCTGAATAGTCTAGTGGCTCAGGAGCTTAAGAATGTTCCCTTTCACTAAGAAGATATAACAAAGCCATCTCTTACAGAACATTTTGCTGAGAAATTAAAGCTGCCATTGGTGGTAGAGCTGCACAGCCACCACTATACCTTTGAAGAGCCCCCTTACTTTAGACAGCTTTGCTTCCAATGTCTCAGCGTCCCATCCTTACACTGTGTCCCCTGGGACTTGGCAGTTTTCCGGGCATTATAGGCCCACGTGGAGAACAGCAGAAGCATTGATAAATACCAGGAACCCTGCATTCCTAAGTTTCAGGACACAGGGAAGAGCCAGGACAATAACTTAGAACCAACAAAAGAAATAGTGCTCCTTCCTCCAAAATCATGAAAGCACTTAGTCACAGGTGTGGATCAAGACCTTCCTACACCAGAGTGAGGAACCACTCAGCCCAGTGTATGCAGTTAACAGTGGCCCTTCCTAATGAGTATTATGCACCAGTACCTGACACAGAAGGAATGCACTCCTCCAAAAAGTTAATTCCCAAAGAGAATGAGGTACATGTTTCATGATTTTGTCACAGGAATAAAGTGAAAAGGCAGGAAGGCTCTCTACATAAAACAAGCCCAGTTAAAAGCTGAGCTGTCTTGATGGGTAGAAGGTAACCTGAAGAGCAGGAGCACAGGACAGTCAAGGGTCTATGGAACAGTAACTGGGATTCCATGTAGCTTTGTGGATGGGAGGAAGGTTAGTTCAAGGAGGAACTCCAGGCCCAAGCAAAGCAGTAATTGGACATTCCTGTAACTAGGAAGGCTCTTCTAGCTGAGAAAAGCTAGAAATTATGCTTGCTCCTCTGGAGAGAGACATTGTCTCCCATCACTATTTGCCATATACAAGAACAATTTCTATAATATAATATATAAACAATAAATTCTTTGAATAAATAAATAAATGTTATCAGTGAAGTTAACTTGCTCTGAAGAAAAACCTTGTTCTTCTCAGACGTGGGGACATACTTCAGTTACGGATTAATTTAGATCAAATCTTATAAAAAATGGCATGTAGGTGACTAGTAAAAAATAGGGTGCTCTGAGAACAGCATGAGTAAAATTATTAATAGGCTGCTTGGCATATTGGAAGAGTATAAATTTTGTAGCCTCAGACTGTGTGAACCAAGGCTTGGCCAGCTTATCATTCATGTCACTTAGATGAATTATTAGGGTTTGTAATTGCCATCTTTTAAAATAAGTCTGATACTTAGCTTGTAATGTTACTAAAAGTAATAGAAAGTACATGTTTCCAGGCACCTATTGAGGGCATAACACATCTTAAATTGCCCCCTCTTTTGAAATCTACTTGTGGCAGAGAAAATAATAGGAATATTCTAGAAGACAGCAATATAGATTTTATATTATTTTACTTTAAATTCGAATTCTCAAGTACTTAATGCCAGACACACTATTTTAGAATCTTCCTAATCTATTAATTTAAAATGAGGCTCTTATTTAAAATTCATTTTAATGGGGTCATGTAGATTTTATTTAGTGGTTTTGTACATAATATACTTAAACTGAAAAATGTGCTTTTAATTACAGGGAGGTTGTAAAGAAAATAGTAATTGCAAGGAAAGAGTTAATTTAGGTCTGGAGCTTCAAAACTCTAGAGAATAAAATATGGCTAAATATACTATATTTTCTTATCAATTTATATGAGCCCTCCTGTGAAATAAAGGTAATTGCTCTTTCTGAATTTACTTTGTCAGGATGTCATTGGCCTACATGCAGCCTTATAAGAAACAGACATGTGAGACTCAGATGTACCAGGTAAAAGGAAATTATTATTATTATTATTATTACTATTTGTGGGCTAAGGGCAAGGATAGAAGGAGTGGGGGGAATCTCAGGCAGACTTTTTTTTTTAATTTTTTTATGATAGTCACAGAGAGAGAGAGAGAGAGAGGCAGAGACACAGGCAGAGGGAGAAGCAGGCTCCATGCACCGGGAGCCCGACGTGGGATTCGATCCCTGGTCTCCAGGATCGCACCCTGGGCCAAACGTAGGCACCAAACCGCTGCGCCACCCAGGGATCCCCTCAGGCAGAGTCTCCACTGAGTGTGGAGCCCAATGTGGGGCTCAATCCCATGACCCAACCAAAACCAAAAGTTGGATACTCAACCAACTGAGCCATCCAGGAGCCCCAGCTGAAAGAAAACTATTGAGATGGTTGTTCATTACAGAGTGTCTTCCTCAGGGTGAAGCCTCAGGGAAGATTCCTTTCTGTTCTTGGCAGGAACATGTGTGTTTCACCAGAGTAGTCAATATGCTTTTGACTGACAAAAACTAGAAACTGGGTAAATGTCCAGGTTTTCCTTATTGTACTGACTGTGAGACACTTAAAACACAATTTGTGGCCTACCCAAAGAAAGAAACTATACCACCAATACTTAACGGTAAACATAAAGGATTCTGTTATGCTTTGATAGTGTCCTCCCAAATTCCTATGATGAAATCCTAGCCCCCAAAGGGGTGGTATTAGGAGGTAGGAGGTTGAGAAGTGATTATTAATTCTCATGAATGGAATTAGTGCCCTTAAAAAACAGGCCAAGAAGGGCCCCCTTGTCCTTCTACTTTGTGAAGTAACAAGATGAGGAATTGGGGCTCTTACCTCGCCACTCCCTGAGTCTGCTGGCACTGTGATCTTGGACTTCCCAGCCTCCAGGAGAGAGAGAAATAAATGTCTATTGTTTATAAGCCACTTAGTTTATGTTTGTTTGCTTGTTTGCCTGTTTGTTTTTCCCAGCATGTAGCTGAAGGCAAAGCTCAAACTCATGACCCCAAGATCAAGACCTGAGGTGAGATCAAGAGTCAGATGCTTAACCATCTGAGCCACCCAGGTTATCTCTATTATGGTAGCTAGGATAGACAAAGAGAGATGCTGTGATATTTATTTTTATAGAAGCCTTGGATATTAATTAAATATACATCCTTTTCCTTGTTTTATTTTATATGCATTTTTTTTACCAATTCTAAAATATGGAGAGGGCATTTTTTTATTTCTATTTTTTTTCTTTTCATAAGTTAGATTATACTGCATAAACTCATGAGTCTAAGTGTTTTTCACTCAAGTATATTTCAAGTACATATTTCAGTCAATACCTAAAGACTTAACATATGTTTAGAGATTTCTAAATAATCTTTAACAGCCACTTCATATATTAATAAGATAAAGCA